TGCATGGCGTGACTCCTCATTCGCACCAGGATTATTCAGGTCAGAAAAACGCACCACTGCTGTTAGCTGTAGCACTGAGATTCCCAGCCTGTGCTCCAGGGACCCATGTTTTCGGGGCGTGCCAATGAAAAAACCCACTGTGGTAGCATTTGGGCCATGCCCCCGGCCACGAGAAAGGCTCTGCCTTTGTAAACAGCTGGTGGAGACACACACTGACCGGTGGCTGGAGACATACGAGACTGATACGAACGGCAGCCGGTAGGATGCAGGTGGGACAGCGGCTTGACGAGGTTGACATGACGTGGTAATGAGTTTTAGTCCATCTTGATCAACCGTGGGCTGTCGCAGTGACCTAGAGACGCAAGGTCCTGAGCCTGTCATTAACCCTTCCCCGCAAGGCCTCCCGGTGCCCTAGCCAAGTCGATTACGACCTCGACTTCTGGAGCTTGCCCACGAGCTGGCCATGTGAGCGGAGCGGGCAGGCGGCATGCCCGTGGCTTCGCGAATGTGGCCACAAGGAAGAGAACTTCTTGGCTTTTCCTTTTCCTTTACACCTGCTGAGATAAGAACATAGGAACGGGCAGACGGGATCAGACCAACGGTCCATCTAGCGCAGGGTCCTGTCTGCCGACCGTGGCCAGTGCCAGCTGCCCTACAGGGAGGGACCCCCCAGACTGAGTTTCAAAACAAAAAGCAAAGGGGCTGCATGGGCGGCTTATTCACCTTGCCCTCCCGACCTTAGCCCCACTGCAAGCGGGGTAAGTACCTCCCCCCTCCCACGCTGGCCCTGCAGCTCCAAGCGCCGACGGCGGCTGAACTGTGGCGCGGCGTCGCCGCACCTGCCGTTTTCCACCCCAGAGGTGGCTGCCCATCGAGAAGCGGCTTAATTGGAGCAGCCTGCTGGACGGCCTGTTATCCCAATTACGGAGCCGTCCTAATTATCCCAAGACGTCCCGCGTCCAGGCTCCGCAGGGGTCGCAGCCAGCGGATTGTCAGCGCTGCGAAGCGCCAACGCTCCAGGCCTGCTCCTGGGGGGCGCCGAAGCCCAGCAGGGATGAGGCGTGCTGAGGGAACAATCCATTTCGCATTCGGCAGCAGCAGCTGCCTCCCAGATAACAGCGGCGCGAGCAGCCAACCCTGCTCCCCTGGCGGGGAG